GGTTCAAACGATCTTTCCTTTTCTAGTTCCACTTTACACTTGTCCAATTCAACCTCTAGTTCTGCTACTTGATTTTTTAGTTCATAACAGACTCCTTCTAGATGATCACAACTAGCAATAGCAATATTACATTCACCACATTTTTCTTTTAATTCTCTTTTGCAAGTTATGTATGTTTCACTTAGTTTATAGCATTCATCTAGTAAGGAATCAATACAAGCAAGCATATTTTCTCTATCATATTCATGCATATCTTCTCTAATTTGCTCTAAGCTTACCTTGCGTTCATGTAGTACATCCTTCTTTGCCATAAAGCATTTGTTGAATGTACTGGTTCCCCCTCTGGTTCCTGGACCAGTGTTGTTTTCCTTGATGTTTGTAAAGGCAGTAAGGCAAACATCTGAGTTGGGTGATCCTTCTTCTTCATCTGACCCTGAGTCAGAGTCTCCCCACATGGAAGTTATCATGGCATTCTTGTATGCTTGTTTATCTCCGGATTTAGACTGTTTGTCATTCCACTTAGGACAATCTCGAATAAGATGTCCTTTTTCTCCACACTTGAAACATCCTGTAGAAGAAGAATTAGAGTTAGATTTTTTATAGTTTTTAAAATGCTTACCTTTGAAATTCTTTCTTTGATCTCGAAGAGATCTCTCAAATCTTTTTGCAATCATGCTAATTTCATCTTCATCATCTTCTACTATTCCCTTAAGCGCCATGCCTCTTGCTGGTTCCTTCTCAGACTTAGAGTCAATCAGCATCTCATGAGTCATAAGGGAACCAATCAGCTATTCCAGAGACAAGGTAGACAGATCCTTTGCTTCGTATACTGCTGTTACCTTGGCTGTCCATGCATCTGTCAAACTACGCAATAATTTTCTCACAAGATCCTCGTCAGATAAATTTTTACCAAGAGATCTAAGATCATTTACAATAGTCATAAACCTACGAAAGCAATCATTAATTTTTTCATTTTTATTCATGGCGAACAGTTCATATTTAGACATGATTAAATCAATTTTAGACCGTTTTACCTCACTGGTTCCCTCAAACGCAAGTTCAAGGGTGTCCCATATCTCCTTAGCACTACTGCAGCCAGATATACGATTTGTTTTGGTCTCACCTATTGCTTGTTGTAGTATTGACATTGCCTTAGCATTCTTCTCCAGCAACTTGTAATCAGCAGTGACCAATTCGCTATCTTTCTTGGGAACCTGGTTCCCCTCAACATCTGTCTTGAGAATGATGTTAGGACCATTTTTAACTACGAGCCAGCATTCATAATCAATACCCATGATAACATTCTGGATCCTGTTCTTCCACCAAGCATAATTATTTCCATTAAACTTGGGTGACTTGTTGTCATAACCGATTGCACTTAATTCTTGAGTACTCATTCTTAACTCCTCTAGATGTTACTCTTTCGAGAAGCTTAGGCTCTGATACCAATTGAAGGTTCAATGGGCACTCAAGAGGGGGGGGTGAATTGAGTGTTAAGTAATCGTTGGCTAATTTTGCTTCTTTTCGGATTATGTGTGAGGAACCAGTTGTGCTGGTTCCCGTACGCAGCGGAATATAAATAAGCAATAAAGAAGACAACAAATTTAACGAGGTTCAGCCAACTCAGGCCTACGTCCTCCTATCCTAAGTTCTTTATTAATCTACTCCGAAAAACAAAGACAAAGAACACTCTGCTGTTTCCCTACTCCGGGAACCAGCAAACCCCACACTCTACTCCGAGTGTGCTCTCGACTTACACTCGTAAGCCCAATGTGTTTGAACTCACAAACACTCACCCAGCCTTTAACCCCTTTGTTAAAGACTCAATACAAGAATCAAGAACTCTCCTTTGATCTCACTTCTACGAAGCTAATTAAGAGAAAATTGTTTAAGTACTAGAATGCTCTTGTATATAACTTGATGAATGGGATTAGTGCTTAAGTATATGCTCTCAAATAATTGCTCTTTTAATTTCTAGAGAGGCACACGAAATATGTGAAATAAGATGAGTTTATATAAGCTTAGATTCCTAAAACCTAGTTTCCTTAAATCACACAATCTTAGAGAATAAGATATATTGTAATTTTAGGAAAGTATTTATCTTATTTGATTTAATCACAAAGATAGAATCAATTAAGATAAATACTCCTAGTTTTTAGGTAACCAAGAATATTTCATCTTATTTCCAGCTGCACAAAATATTTTCAAAATAATCTTTTCGAAAAAAATCTTTTTGTAAAATCTTTTTCCAAAACGGCAGCTCGAATATTTCGTACAGTGAACCTGGTTCCCCGACCTGGTTCCCTGAATTCAAACATGTTATGAAACCTGTTCCAACTTTGTACCAGATTTCATATCATACTTCAATATACTTTTAAGCACTTATATAACCCAAACATGCAAGCATACTACGGAGCATATTACATGAAAACCTAGATAACATATTAAAGCATAAATCGTCTTTTCTTCATGTAATCTTCAAGACTTGAATCTTCCTTGAATACTTCTATTATGAGCAAACAATCTTTCTTCGAAATATCTTCGAAAGGCTTCTATGCTCCAAGTCTTGGAATCAACTCAACTACTGCACATGTAACATGGTTAATGCACAATAAAGAGTATGTGACTGCTTTTCCGCATAGCAGTCAAGGAAACGGTTCATACTGGTTCCCCACCAGTACATAGCACATTTATCATCTAACTGTTTCCTGTATATAGATAAGTTAGTTCAATAGATAACTCATATAATCAATAACTTATCTAGGAAAACAGTGTTCTATTATAGCTGGTTCCAACCAACTGTTTTCAACACTTATTAAAACCTGTTTCCCATAGCTGTTTGTCATCATTCAAAACCATCATTCAAAACCTAAGGGACTCAACAGATGAGATGATTAATAAATGAAAAATATATAATCTTGTTATAATTAGAAAACTTTTGATTTATTTGATTTAGGATTGGTTTGTTATAATCACTGATTTAAAATTTATAAAATTATAAAGTACTTGACTTCAAAAGTTACTTAATTGTAATAAAAAATGATATAGTAAATTAATTTTTTGCTCTTTTTATTCGATACTAGTTTAATATGTGCGTTGCACGGCTTAAGTAGATATTATTTGTTTAAAATAGTTGTCAATATTTAGTATCTGAAAATGAAAATTCTAATGTGGTCACTCTCTTTTATGACCATTACTATTCTTCAATGTGATTGGCTAATCTTACTTTTCTTAAAATAGTTGGTCAAACCCCTTTTTTTTTAATTTTTACTATTTAAAATACATTTCTATTTTCTGAAAAATATATTTCTATATTTTGAAAATCTTTTTTTTTTTTTTTGTTCTTCATTGTTCTTCGTGTTCTTCATGCTTATTCAATGTCCTTTATCTACGGTTCAATCTAACATGTAATTAATGTTCTGTTTCCTTTAGTCGTGATTGTGCAACGATTGACATCAAAGACATGGCCGGATTCAAACAGGAAATTCAAAATTTACATTTTCTCGAATTTCGATATTGGTTTTTTTATTGATTTTTAACATTTTCTTGAATTTCGATATTGATTTTTAATCCTTGAATAATTGGTTTTTATTGTACAAAGTCCAACAATTGATGCGAAATAAATGGTTTTATGCAATCAAAATCAAAATTTTAAAGTTTTCCATAATCTGGGTTCTACAGGAAGTTCTAAGAAGAAACCGATGCAATTTGTTTGCGCAACCAATTTGATAAAAAAAAAACGCATATGTTAATTTAAATCTGCTTGTGTATATGTAATTACCAGAACTGCATATTGGACATTACCTGTAGGAAAACATCTCCATAAGTTATTGGTTACGACCACACGTTATTTTGGACATTACCAAATACTGCTTTTTAATTCATTAATATTTTGTTATATTATTAATTGATAGTAAATATAACTTTGGTCTTAACTACACAAATCACATTTTATATGCTACCAAGCTAAGGTTTGATATGAATGATTACTTATACATCTACTATAGCGGTTTTAATTCTGTAAGCATATACTTTAATATAAGTAATTAAAACATCCACTTATCTTCGACTATAAGTAATCAAAAAATCAACCTTTAGAAAATTCCATGGGCATAATTTATGCGATTTAGTCATACTTTATGACTAAATAATTAAAACATCAAACTTTAGAATTGTAAATAAGAATTTAGTCATACTTTATGCGATTTAACATTATGGATTACATTGATATATTTTCCATATACTTCCTCCGTTATTTTTTTTATTGCACCATAAGGGATTTCACGCTTGCCAATGCATTACTTTAGCTATTAATATCTTCAATTATACTTTTATAAAAATTTGATATTTGAAAAGTAGAGTTCGATAAGAATCTAACTAGATCTCACATGACTATATTTTCCCTAATGTATAAATCACAAATGATGGTCAAAGAAGATTAAGTGAATAGTGTAAAAGTCCTAATGTGCAATAAAATAAAAACGGAGGAAGTATGATTTATACCTAATGATAATGTAATGTTGTTTAAGGCCCATTGTCCAAGTACTAAATTGTTATTCAAATGAACCTTAGCTGTAAAAAAATATAAATAAATAAAAAAAAAACAAAAAAAAAACAGGTAATGACACAACAATGTTTAGGAGAAAGCATATAATATATTCAGAAAAAAATAGCAGTGACGCGGTATCTTTTTCAATTAATTTATGTGTGTAAATTTTCAAATTAAATTCAAATTTCAAAATTTTCAACTGACCGCCCTTTGTTTTCGAAGGTTAGCTTCCAATATATTTGTCATAAATGTAATCACTAGGTGAAATAAGAAGAATGGCACCGCCTTAATGCCACCGGTTATACACATAGGCATGTGCCCGCAGATTGGATTTCATTGGCAGGACCGGTGGGGAAAACATGGGTAAAATTAGGCGGGTCTTTTAGAAGAGGTTTTTGCCACCGGTTCGGTTCAAACCAGTGGAAAACCATTACATTATTCCCACCGGTTTGAACCGAACCGGTGGCATTCTGTATAAAAAAACCCCTTATATACCCTTAAACCCTATCTCAAAACACTACTCGGCCTCCCTCCTCATTTCTCTCTCTTGACCTCCTCTCCTCTCTCTCCTTCTCTCTCCTCTCCCTATCTAGATCTCCTGTCCTGCTCCCTCATCTCACCACTACCGGCACCAAGTCTCCGTCCTCGTCTCCCCTATCTCTCTTTCTTTTTCTCTTTCGTTCTTCCCGATTCTCATCCCCTTCTCTTTCGTTTCCACGAACACCACCGAAGATGACCACGAAGACCACCACCAAGTCCAACACCCAAGACCACCATGAAGACCACGAACAACACCGAGTTTAATCAAAGTTGGTTTAATTTTTTTTTTTGGTTTAATTTTGGGTTTGATTAATCGATTTTTCTGGGTTCTTACATGTGTTTTTTGGGGTTATTTTTGGGTTTGATTTTGGATTTTAATTCGATTTTTCTGGGTTTCATTAATCAATTTAAATCGATTTTCGGATTTCAATTTGATTTTTCTGGGTTAATTTTCGGTTAAAATAATCGCTTACTTAGGGTTAATGCATGCGTTTTTGGGATTTTTCTTTTATTTTTTATTTTCGTGATTTCTGGGTTTATTTTCTGGGTTTATGTTTGGGGTTTCTGGGTTTTTTTTTTTATTACGAGTACTATTTTCTGGGTTGATTTAAATTTCCTTGATATTCTGGGTTTAATTTTCGTGATTTCTAGGTTTTTTTTGTTATTATTTCCTCGGTTGATTTTATTTTTCGTGATTTTCGGGGTTTATTTTTCGTGATTTATGGGTTTTTTTTTAAAAAAAAAAATTTGAGTTCATGAATCATGGAGGTTTTTTTAGTTTATTGTGAGTTTTATTAATTTCGGTGTTTTAATTGATGCAGGTGAAGAATCAAGGTGTTGATTTTGGAATTTTAATTTCGATGTTGTAATTTTTTTTCTTCGATGTTGTAATTTTTTTTTTTTTGATGTTGTAATTTATTTATTTTTTTGTATTGTAAAATAACAATTTAATGATACATAATTCTGATTGTATTTCATATTCAATTATTCTTTTTTATGGTGTTTTGCTTATATTTTTTGAGACAAAGCTGTGAATTCACTGATTATATGTTGATTATGGAAAAAGCAAACTAAAAAAAAAAATTGAAATGGCACTCGTTAACCGGTGCCAATTGACGTTAATACAAAAAAAGAAATAGTTATGGCACCGGTTAACCGGTGCCAAAAATCAATTATAGCACCGGTTAATCGGTGCCAATATTAAATATTGCCACCGATTTTTAACCAGTGGCATTTTTTTGATGAATTGGCACCCCCAAATTATTAACGGTTCAAAACCGGTGTCTTAGGGGGGTTTGAACCGGTGCCAAATTGAGTTTTTCTACTCTTGAATGAATGGAAATACATATTGGACATTATTTGTAAGGAACATTTCTATAAGTTCTTGGCTACGACTATATGTTACTTTGGACATTACCAACTACTGTTTGTTCATTTATTAATATTTTGTTATATTATTCATTGATGGTTAATATGAATTTGGCCTTCATTAGACAAAATCACATTTTATATGTTACCAAGATAAGGTTTGATATCAAAGATGAATTATACATCAACTTTAGTTGTTTTAATTATGTAAGCATATCCTTCAATATAAGTAATTAAAACATAACCTATCAAAACATCAACCTTTAGAAAATTCCATGGGCATAATCGTTTAAGAAATGTAACTAAGAATTTAGTCATACTTTATGCAATTTAACATTTTGGGTTATATTGATATATTTTTCACATATGATTTATACCCAATGATAATGTTATGTTGTTTAAGGCCCAATGTCTAAGTACTAAATTGTTATTCAAATGAACCTTAGCTGTAGAAGAAGAGACATATAAAACACAGGTAATAACACAAAAATGTTTAGATAAAGCACATTATATGTTTATCAAAAGACAGCAGTGACACGATATCCTTTTCAATTTATTTATGCATTGAGTTTTTCAAATGAAATTAAATTTTCAAAATTTCAACTAACCGCCCTTTGTTTTTTTGGAGGTTCGCGTTTCCAATATATTTGTCATAAATGTAATGACCAGAACTACATATTGGACTTTACCTGTAAGGAACATTTCTATAAGTTATTGGATATGACCATATGTTACGTTGGACATTACCAAATATTATTTGTTCATTTATTAATATTTTGTTATATTATTAATTGATGGTGGATATGAATTTGGCCTTCACTAGACAAATCACATTTTATATGTTACCAAGATAAGGTTTAATATCAAAGGTGAATTATACATCTACTTTAGCTGTTTTAATTATGTAAGCATATACTTCAATATAAGTAATTAAATCATCAACCTTTACTAAATTACATGGGCATAATCGTTTAAGAACTGTAACTAAGAATTTAGTCATACTTTATGCGATTTAACACAACTGACTGCCCTTGTTTTTAGGAGGTTAGTTTTTAAAAGCTTAATTATATCCTTGACATACTCTCAACCTTATAATTAACACAAAAAAAAACACACACACCCCACCAAAAAAATGGGGGATTCACAAAATTCCATTTCTCGAGGTTTATCTTCTAGTTTTGGAGGGGGCATGGTGAAATGTGGATGTGGAGTTCTCTCTAAGATTCGAACTGTGAACAAGCCTAACCATAATAAGGGAAGGAAATTTTGTGGTTGTGGTTAATATCCGGTACCTTATTCTAAACCCATTTGTAATTTATGGTTCAATTTTAATGTATATGATTAAATATAATAATTTTTCATTAGAGTTCCAAGTAACAATTAGGGTTTATTTAATTTTTGTAAATTGCAGGAGGCTGACAGTGGATTTTTCAAATGGTTGTATGATGGTGTCGGTGGATGCGTCGAGTGTGAGATGATGTCAAAGAGATTGGATGCAAATGAGAAAGAAGTTGAATCTCTAACTATAAAGCTAAACAAATTGAAGATAAAAAATCACAATTTCAGGAACAAATATGTGACTTGAAAAGCCAATTATGTCAATCAACCATGGAGAATAACAGATATATTGCATACACATCTATGATTTTGTTTGCACTGGTTATTTCATGGGCTATGTTTGTGGTCGTATAAGAAGATAATTGAATAAAATGCATTGCAGAATTACTAGTTGAGGATTTGGTTAATTCTAAATATCATTTATTTTACTTTTTTTATTTATGTTATAATATTAAAAAAAAAAATACTTCGTATCATTTAATTCATTAATTCAAATTCATGACAATTTTTTAAAAAATATGCCTTGATTTCCTTGAATACATTGAGTTATCAAAGGAAAAATGGCTTATTATGTATCAGTACTTGTATTATCACTAACCTAATATATTTTGTAGATATAATGGAATATTTACATATCCTAATTGAGCTCATATAAAATGGGGATATCAATTCATATGTTTCCAATTGTAACACATGTTAATTAAATTTAATTGGTAACTAACTTTTAAAAATTAACTATTTAAAATAATTTACAAGGAATATTAAATTCAGGTATAGATAGAGACCCTTTAATATTTAAAATAATCCCCTAATATAGACCCTTTAATGCTGTAAAGGTTGTGAAAATAGGGAGCTTCTAATTCAAAATTCAAAGTACGAACATAAAGTACTTTAACATAAAATGAAATTAATTACGTAGAAATTAGTTACCATACATTAAAAACACTAAATATGTGACATGCCACCATTACAGTTTCGCCACATTGGGCCAAAATACATGCTAGTACCCACATAACAATTTACTACTTAAAATGTCTTAGGATCATAGTTGAGAAAACAGAAATACAACAATAATAGTATATAGCTCTTTGGCATACATAAATACATAGACGAAGCCTAAGTATCGTAGAAGTTTTCATTTCCAGAATCATCATCTTCATCAACAGGTGCATGAGAAGCCTTTTGTACACTCTTAGAGTTTTCGCCCTCACCTTCATTTTCATCGTCACCAACATCTTCATCTTCCCAACAAAGAACAAATGTAATTCGGTTAAATGTATTTAATTGATACTATAAATTAAAATGGGTAATAACACGAAAAACATACGTGTTATTACCAATTAATATACAAAACAGACTTGTTATGTAGAATTCAGCAATATAAGTGCACTAAAAAATGCACTTGTTCAATTATATAAATGACAAAATAGGTGTGTCAAAACAATGCCAAAATAGAGAACAACACGGTCATAAACATGATTTACAATACAACTATGTATAAGGTCATTACATGAGATTAAATTAAAAATAAAAAATACCAGAATGTCACTAGAATTGAAATTAACATCAAAATCATACAGGTAATGACCCAAATAATAATTAGTCATTACCCGTTCAATATTAAAACAGAGAATTCTTATCATGCATTCATCAATATAGTTAATTTCCAAAATCAGGTAATCACCAGTGACAAAACATAGAACAGCCCGATCACAACATAATAGGCAATGTAATATAACTTTTAAGGTCATTACATATAGGATCATATATGATTTTAAGGTCAACATTACCAGAATGTCCATAGAAAATTAAGCATAAGGACAATATAAAAAGTCAATAACTTGAAATATAATTAGTCATTACCCATAGTTTTACAAATAAAAATGTAACAAGCATTCGTCAATATAGGTTATATCCCCACATTATAAAATATATTACCAATGAAAAAACAGAGAAAACCTTAACATAACAATATATAATTGGCAACGTACAACAACATAAAATGTAATTACACATGTAATTAGACATGAAATTAAGGTCAACAATGCCAGAAATTCTACATATTATGAAACATAAAGATAGTAAATACCTGAGTTCTCATTAAGGGCATCTATTCGAGACTGTACAATCTCTTGGACCTCAAGCATAACAGCATCAGTGAAGACATCCGATCTAAGGCGCTTAAGAATTTCTTGCACAGTCTTGCTCTCACGCATGACAGCTTCAAAGGATGACGCATAACGGTTTCCTTTACCATCTTCCGCAGAATCATCTATTGCCGCTTCTTCCTCTACACATTGCTGCTTTCGAACAGGATCACGTGATACCTCTTTAATTACCCACTTTTCATCGCCGATATCATATTTGTAACCCAAAGCATTATGAATTGTACTTGAGTTAAATGGATGTTTTGGTCCACTTTCCACCACTTCATCCGATAAGTCGACCTCAAATCTTTCAAACACCTTGGTCAACCACATACCATAAGGAAGGAACAACCCTTCCTTTGTTCCCTTTTGAACAGTATTCATGTAATTAATCATTATCCTCGGCATATTCATATTCATAGCGACGAGGACAAAGTACATGACCAACATGTCTAGGTATGTCAAGGAGGACAGTGTCCCCTTTCGCATAAGGAAGGACTTGAAGAGAATCAAATGCAAAAGTCGAGTTTGTAGCAGTAGTTCATACACTTCTGGCTTTTTATCTCTGCCAGATTCATCTTCCATAAGCACAAAATGAGGCATTTCTCAACATTAAATTCCGTTTATGTACTCCATTTTTTCCCCGGAGCTTAGCTTGCACCCCTTGTATTGGAATCTTCAAGATACTGCTCAAGGTAGCTTCATCCAACTTTATCTCCTTCCCCTTCACCCAAGTGTATATTACTCCATCTTCTTTGTTTGCATGATCGAAGTGAGTGTAGCACTGTCGAACAAGGTTGGGTTATAATGGGGTAATTTTCTGCAAGCAACGTGTCCCATCCTTGGTGTGTAAACCACTTTCTTAAAAATAATCAACATGGGCTAAGTCAAGGGTCTCAAAGTCTACATGTTTCCCTTCACAGATTTTTCGTTTTGCAAATGTCTTAAAAGTATAATTCACGGTACAGGGAGGACTTTGAACCTTTCATCATCAGTTGATGTTTGCATTGGCCTCTTCTACTATCCCTTGTAGCAAGATAAAGTGGGGTAGTAGTGGCCGAAGCATGCCTTCTTGACCTTGTGTTTGGAGAGTTGGTTGGTTTAAGACCAATGATTGTATGTTGCCCTGTT